GGTAGGGAAGCTTCCTTGATTAAACTTACATTCAATGCATTCTGAGTCTGAATCCTGAGGTTTTTAAATCATAGCTGACCCAGTAAATGAGGGACAGAAAGAGACATAAGCAAGGAGGTATCATCTTATTTAGTTTCCTAATTTATCCTTTCTTGGATCAGTTCACCAACAGATCAGTTTTCACTGGGTAATTTCTCCAAAAGGGTCATCCTTCTCTCTATCCCACCCAACCCTAACTCTTACCCTTTGGGGATGAATTTACCTAGTTTGGAGAGCCCCACAGATAGATTAGTGAGATCTAACTTGTCTAATTTTAGCTGAGTACCACCAATATAATTGGATTATTTCTTTTGGGTTTAACTACAGGAGAATACCTGAGGTGAGTGGACTTGCTGCATATGAGAAAATCTACCATCTGGTAAGTGAAATATCTTTAATTTTAGCTTTTACTTTACTTGTTTATTCATGAATGAACATTTCTTCATTTTTAAAAGTAACTTAAAGGAAATAGCCCTTATCTGTAGATTTGGGTATCTTTCAAAAAATATTTGTATTAATTTCAGAGAGAAAGGGAGAGGAATAGAGAGATAGAAACATCAGTGATGAGAGAGAATCATTGATGGGCTGCCTCCTGCTGACTGGAGGATTAAGTCCACAACCTAGGCATGTGCCCTGACCAGGAATCAAACTGTGACCACCTGGTTCATAGGTTGATGCCCAACCACTAAGCCACATTTGCCAGGCCATTTGGGATTTTGAATTGAGACTGAGCTGTACATTTGGACCATAAGATAAAATCTTGGGAGGTATTTCTGGAAGTTTGTCAGTATTTTGGCGAGTCTTTGATTTAGCTACATGGGCGGATCTGTTTTCTTCCAAGACACAGAGCTTGGTTTGCTAAGGAATGCCTCTGGTGTTTACCTATTGTGCATTCTCGATGAATGACTGATGCCCTTCTCAATCAAGAATGAAAACACAGGGGAACCCAGGGTTGACCATGGGAAGTCATGTGATACTTTTGCCGGCCTGTCCTTCATCTCCCCATCTCTGAGTAACTTGGATGGTGATAATAGCAGTTAGCATTCAGTGAGTGTGTCAATGATATGACAGGCATATCATTGAATATATTTCCTCAACATGAAGTAACTAGTCATTTTTTTCACCACAATCTGTCCCATCGGGTATCGTCTTTTGAAAGGTGAAGAAGTTGTGGCATAAATGAACTTGGGTGATTGCTGACCATTCTAGTCTCAGTGGACTCACCGATTTCTTGGGCTCATCTTGCCAAAGTCCTGGACACATCTGAGGCCAAGCAGGGGACTCTAGTGTGAGGAGTTACAGCCCCAAGGCTTGCCTGTGGTTAACATCCCAAACTTTCACACGGTGGTTGGTTGGTATCTTGGAAGGGATGTCTCTCTTACTCCCCGCTGTGCTTTGTGATTTTGGCTGGAAAATTTTCCATATGCTCTATTCAAGCTCTTTCCATGATTTCGCCTGCCTGGGTTTTTGCTCTGGCATCTGATTCATGTCCCCTCTCCTGGAGTTTCTGTAGCACATTATTTGGTTGCTGGTATGTATTTATAGTTCTAGCATTGGCAAAAATCTAAAATGCCTTAGGAAATGCTTGGAATTTCAAGACGAGCTTTCCGGTGTATTTTTATGCTGCTCACCAGAGTGTGATGCGCTGAAGTCAGTGCTGGCAAACAGGCTGGAGGTTGGCTTTCTGGCCAGGGTCCTCCGGAGAGGCTTCCAGAGCTCTGTGCTTGGCCATTGTCTGGGCCTGGGGATGCGCTGACGTCCCCCAGAGCCTGCTCACAGAGAGCTCGCTAATATGCCGTTTTGTTTTGTTTTGACACTTCCCACAGTAGCTTTATTTAAAAAGAGGGAGCTATAAAATCAATGCCATAATTGATTTTAGGGAACGATAACCTAACCCCCATAAAATGTGCTACTGTCATCGCTAGCAAACCTCCAAGCAGCAAGGAAGAAGGGGGCACACGCCAAGGTGGCCACGCATGGTCGGCGCTCACAGGGGAGAGCTGGAGACAGCACAGCGGGTAAGAGCCAGGGTCTGGCTAAGAAGCCAGACTTCTGGTGTTTGGAGCAGTTCCACCAACTGGATGACCTTGGGCTTCTCATATGTTAATGGAGATAATTATAGGGTAGATGTGAGGATTAATTGTGGCCGGATCTAGAAATGTTTGCCCCTGCCAGTAGTATAACACACACAACTTCAGCATGCCGTTGCTCCACACTGCAATGGCACAGGAAGCCTGGCCCGGAGTGAGGCTCCTTCTGCACTCAGGCTCCTTCTGCACCTACCCCCAGATGCCTTGCTTCTTCTCTGCACAAAGGTACTGTGGCTCCCGTCTTCCCACTCTCTAGGGCCAGAAATAAGATGATTGTTAAGGTCAGCACTGAGCCGGAGTAAATGCACACCCACAGCCATAGCCCCTCTGGCTTCATTCGCAGAGCTGGCCCTCCCAGGCCTGGGCCCCCAACACTCCTTGTGAAGCTGAAAACTGCACTTCTCCCTATTTAGCCAGACACTGATGAGTGGCTGGGAACCACCCTCTCCCCGACACAACACAAGCTGGGAGGGGTGAGCTGAAGAGAGACTCGGACGACACAATTTAAATAAATAAGCTGTATTATCTGTACAAAAAAATATAAATACAGTTTTGTGTTTTAGAGGAGGAAATACCTCCTTTCCACATTATTCAGCAGCCCGAAGAATCTTGGGGCGCTGCTGAGTCACAATTCACAGAACAAACAGTAAATGAACATTCATGTCATGCAAGGGGCACGCGGCTTCCCACCCCAAACCCAGGCCCTCCACGCTGGCTCTGCAACCCGCTTCAGAGGTTCCAGCCTGACATGGGGGAGCTGAGGACACCTGCTGTGTAGGAAGTGTGAATACTGGCCCGGGGTTTTCAACAGCCATCGAACTAGAAATAACCAGCCACATTCGTAGTAGGATAGAATTTGTCTTCTTCACCCCACGTGTAACTGTTGTGTCACAAATGAATTCCCTCTCATTGCCCCATCATCCCATGTTAGTTTTTACAATGTATTCTGTACACAGTGAATGGATCCAGAGTTAAACATCCGGTTCTATTAAAAAAAAAAAAAAAAAAGAACAATACAATAATCACCACGGAGTTTACAGAAACACAACTGCGAGAAGTTACTAAAAAGTCCCCCGAATACTTGGTTTTCTGGATGACAATGTACAATTATTAATATTGCACTTTTTTTTTATACAAGAAATCCTAATAAATATTCACAAAAGATATACAGACATAGAAAACATTCTCTTTTATTTTAAATAAACATTACACTGATTTTTAGTAACGTGATTTCTTAGAGCCCATTTTTTGTGGTGAGGAAGAAGGAAACTATCTAACTGTCCACAGCTCACCTGGGGAGGCCACGCAGTAACGGTGCCTCCCTTCAAATTTCCTTGCAGGCTGGAAAACAGCCCTGATGTCAGTGGCAGCCCCGAGGGAGGGAGTGGTGCTTTCTCTGAAGGTGAGTGACTCTCGCCGCCCTGCCCTGCCATGACGACTGAACTGGGGCCACTCGGGGAGGTGGCCAAAATCATGTGTCCAAAGCCACTTGCTGAATAAGCAATTTGCCCGATCACCAGAACTGGCACAGGTGGACTCCTGGTAGTTCATTGTGTGTGGGGAATGGGTTGAAAGTCTTTGAGGACAGTCTTGGAAGCTTTAGTTATCTTTTGGCTTTGCCATCCATTGCACCCCACACCCCGCCCCAACCTGCTCTATAGACAGGCGGGAACTCTCACTGTGGTCTGGGCAGGGCTCCCACAAACCTACTGTTCCCCCAGGCCCCCGTCAGCTCTAGAATGAAGTGGCTTCTATGTCCTGGTGGCTGCTCTTGAGCAAATTGATTAATGAATTGGTTTTTGCAAATTGACGCTAGTCCCTGGCTCTTAAGTGGGGCCGCAAAGGCCATACATGCTCAGATGCCACTGGCTCACATCAGTTGAGTTCCAGGCTGGGGCACTCTAGACTTAGAGATGCCAGGGGTGGTTTTGCTGCGGGTGTACAGGCAGAAGGTTCTCTGAGAGCGTGGGGAGAGAGACTCCCCTCCACCTCATGGAGGGCATGTCTCATACCAAAGCCTGAGCCCTCTGTGAGGGCAGCAGAGCTCCGAGCAGCCCTTCTCCTGAGCCTGCCGGGGTCCCATGCCCAGGGGGCTCAGATCCCCTCTGGGAGCCTCCTGGCCACTCACTCCTCCCCTGTCTCCCTCTACTCTCCCCTGAGGGACATGCACAGGCTTTCTTGCTTCTGTCCTCCTGCCCCTCTACTTCCTCTTTCTGCATCGGGTCCTTGAGGCCTACTTGGACTGTCTCCTCCTTCACCCCACGTGACTACGTGTTCTTGTTGCTCTGTGCCCTCCACCTCCCCTCCCCAGCAGAAGAATAAGTTCTGGGCTGCTTCTTCCTCAGCATGATGTCCTCCTTGCCCTTTCTGAGGCTAAGGGACAGAGGCAGAGGAGAAGACAGGAGCAGCGCGCTCCTGCAATAATGGTGCATGGGAAAGACCCAGTCGGTGTCCAAAGTCTGGACCACTGCTTTACAAACCGTCTGGGACCTGCCCACCTGCCTGCTGGGAGCTCTGGCTCCACGCTGTCCCCAGGGGCTATCCCTGCCTCTTCCCAGGTCTCTTTAGGACCCAGGTTTGGGAGGGAGCCAGCTTTGCAAAGAAGCTCCCACTGTCTGGCCCAGTCTGCTCTGCAACCTCCTTTGACCTCTGTCCTGTCCATTCCCAACATTCTGTCCTCCCTCTAACTGAAAGAGAAGGCATGCTGAGGTCCTCAGGTCTGGGGGGGGGGACGGTGGGGGTTGGATGGGGGTGTGCGTGGTTGGGGGCAGGGAGGGGGAAATAAATAAAACGAAGAAAGCTTAAGTTCTGTCCAAGGTGGTTGCGTGAGTCCTTTGTGCGGCCAGGGTCGGTCTTCCCTAGGCCCTCTCTTCACACTTTGCCACAAGTTCCACAGCAGCGAGACTTGAACTGGCTGAGTTGGCAGAGTTTCAGCTGTTTCACCTTCTCGCAGTATCTGGTGGTATCTCTGCACTCCACTGGGGGGTGGGGGAGGGAGGCAGAAAGGAAACGTGAAGCAGAGATTAATGGCTCTGGCCAACTGGGTTTTTCCTGTGCTGGAGGGGCCACTGCTGTGCTGTCCTGTGAGCTCAGCCACCACCCCTCCTGCCCTGGCTGCCAACACGAGGGTCTTTCTGAGAGCCCCCCTTTCTGCTGGTGCCTGTGGGCTCCCTGTCTTACCTCCCAGCCAAGTTGCTGTCTCCCATGGTATTTTAGTATTTTAGTAAGTGACTCTCCTCCTTGAGACGGGTTCCAGAAGGACTACATTTTGTTCCACTGCAAGATGGCATGTGAGTGAGGTCCTGGTTGATGGCCTCAATCCCCTGAGCAGCTTTGTCTGGGCATATTCTCTCTCCACCTATGCCTCTCTACTTCTCATCATCAGGCTTTACCGGACACCACGACCTTCTAGTCCAGTACTGGCACAGACCACACGGTCCTTCAGCACTGGTGCTGATTTGGGTTGTGGACATCTCGAATTGACCTAGTCCAAACTCCTTTCATTGAACACTGGTCCTCAGTGTGGTGAGCTCCTACCACCAAGATGGGTCAGTCCCATCCAGGAGGACACACACCACCCCTCCCCAGTGTAGAGAAAGCCACCAGGCATGAGGCAAAAGGACTGTTTGCTTCCAGGTCCCCTGCCTCCCCGCTGGGAATCGGATGCTCAGGGAGGCCCTGCTGGGAGGAAGCGGCACTGCACCAGGTAAGTTTCCTAGTCTGTGCCTCATACTTTGTCGTCTTCCCTGTGGGGAAGCACCTCCAATTTGTTTTGGGTCTAGAGCAGTGGTCAGCAAACTCATTAGTCACCAGAGCCAATATCAACAGTACAACGACTGAAATTTCTTTTGAGAGCCACATTTTTTAAACTTCTAATGCCACTTCAAAATAGACTTGCCCAGGCCATGGTATTTTGTGGAAGAGCTACACTCAAGGGGCCAAAGAGCTGCATGTGGCTCTCGAGCCACAGTTTGCCAACCATTGGTCTAGAGGAATAAAAAACAGATCCTCACCCAAAGGCAGAGGAGGACCAGATCTGCAGAAGGAGGGAGTGAATGAGTGTCAGCTCCCAGGGCAGGGCTCAGTGTGGTCGGTGCTCTGGGGTAGGGGAGGAGGGAGGCGGTCAGCAGAGCCTTGTTCTGTGAGAAGCAGAGCTGTGATGGGCACCAAGCCTGCTGAGCAGAGGCACTCTGCATGCTGCGTTAGTGTGCACAGTGCTTTCTCCTTAGTAGCCCTCCCCCAAGGGCACTGTTCGGCTGTCCCCTGTTCACCTGCCAAAGGAATGCAGGTGAGCTGGAGGCTGATTTCATCTGGCACTTGGCTCTCTCAGGGCCCAGATGAAGCCCTTAGGGCACTCAGCCATCTTCTGTGGCTTGAATATGTGTACACACATTTGTGCACACACCCATTCTCCCTTCTGAAAATACCTAACTCTAGCTCCAGCTCACAGTCCTTGGGAAGCCGGATCTAGTGCCCTGTGCTCAGGCTTGGGCCCAGAGACTGCCCTCTGCACTGGGTGCCCTGGGGGAGGGGGATTTGTAGAAGGCTCTTTGGGATCGGAACTTACTGTTTTCACATGGGGTGATGTTGCAGCGCTGCCAGTTGGCGGGCCGGGGCCCCCAGGAGCACAGGTGCTCCGGCACCGCCTTGTTGGTGTGGGCGTGCACACACTCCACACGCCGGGACTGGAAGCCGTAGTTGCCGCAGGTGGCTGTGCACAGGGTCCACAGGCTGACCCTCCAGTGTACACTGCAGGCTTCTGACCAGCAGTTCTGGGTGCTCACAGGCCTGTAGGAGGAGGGGGGCAGGGTAAGACTCTGCCTCTGTGGGTGCTGGAACTGGAGGCGGGGTGGGGACAGATGTGAAAATAACACTGCAAACCCAAGGATGTTGGGCATTGAAGAGCTTCCAGTGCTACCAGATCTGGGCTCTGATCTCTGCTCTGTTACTGAAAGGCTCTAACGTCTCAGAAGGCCACCTCCTCTAACAGGGACTCTGTCTGCTCATCTCTCCAATGCCTGCCTCACTGCAGGACCTGAGAATGGGCTCAACCCAAGGTGCAGGTTTGCAGAAGCAGAGCCATCACCCCAGGGAGACACCTACAAGGAGGTATGACAGGAAATGGGGGCTAGATAGGGATGACAGGTAGAGACTCCAGGACAAAGGTCCTCATGTCAGCATAACTTCTAGTAGGAGGCCAGCAAGTGTGAGGGGGCTGCTAGAGCCCTGAAGATCTGGTGGCCACTTTGTGGACTTCACCTCTTGTCCACCCTGGGGCTGGTCAGGTCTCTTGTATCAGGCTTTCCTCAGAGGAACCTACACATCTTCATCTCCAAGAAAGGAGAGCCGAGCCTGGCCCTTTCAGTAAACACAAGGCCACCACAGAGCCTTCTACCTTGGGAGAGGCCAGTGGCCTGGGGAGAACTGAGGTGAAAGGGCAGGGCATGTGACCCCTGGGAACGCGGGAGACTGGAGAAGAACCATTCATTCACCACCATCTTTCTGTGCTATGGACACAGGGGCTGGGGAAAGGAGGCCCATGGTTTTCTCTTACCTCGGGAGGGCACTGCACTGCTCTGACGGTAAGGTGACGCCGTCCAATGTCTGGCAGAAGACTTGTCTGTGTTGCACAGCTAGGTGAGGCCCGATGCAAGGCCCGTTGCACTGGCAAGCAGAGAAAGGTGACATACACATATAATGTTAGGCAAGCCAGGGGAGGCTGCAGTATTTGGGCTGCATGGGACACGTGTGCAGGGTCAGAGCGTTCATCTTGCCCCTCTTTGGGGCAACTAGCAGGTGTCCATGGCATGTTTCCTCTGTGCCACAGTGGAAGCGTTAGCTTTCCTGTGGTCTGTGAGCATCCTGCTAGCAAATGGCTAATGGCAGTTGTAGAGCCAACCAGAGAATGTCAACCTCTCCCAGATTAAACAGGTGAAAGATTGCTTGGCATAATGTTCCAGGAATGGCCTGGTAACCTTTATTACTCTACATCCTGTTTCTATGATTTTAGAGGTGAAGACATTAAGAAAAGCCCCTCAGTCCCATCTTTACTCCTGAGAATTATTTGATATATTGTTTTCTTGCTAAATTCACCCAAGTAACCAAGTCTATGCGTTCTTTTCTTCCTTTGGCTTCCTTTTCTCCACGTTAAACCCAGGATGGCTGAACAAAAGCAGACTTAGGTATGTACAACGAGTCCTTGCTTATATTCTCTTGTTCTGTGCTCATGGAGATTGGTAAGCTTTTCCTAGAGTTGGCAGAGCCAGAGTCTGGCACAGGAAATGCCCGTAACAATGGTGCCTGTAAAGAACAAAAGCAGTAGGAGGTAGGTGACATCTGCTATTTGAGTAAGAGGCCAGACATCCCTTAGACGTCACTTTAGAACCAAAGTCCTTAACCTGGGGCAGGGGCGTCTTTGGACTTCCTAGGGGACCCCCGGAGAGCTGTTAACCTTTAAAATTATAAGCAGAAATCTTGTGTTTATTGACATTTTTCTAGCAAGAGGCTTTCACTTTTATCAGATGCTCCAAGGATTCCAGAAGTTTAAAACCACCGAAGGAAAGGATTCAAGGTAAAGATAGTCTGTTAGGTCAGGCAACTGTGTCCCAAATCAGTTACTGCTCCTTCTGCCATAGCTGAGTATACCAGAGTCTTGTTGATCAAATCTCATTTGTTTGTCAGACCAAGTGATGGTAGAAGGTGCGAACTCAGAGAGCAGAAAGAGATGGGTCTGAAGGGTCTGTTGTGCACAAAGACACAGGAGGGTTAGGGAAAATGTAAAAATGCCCCTTGACACCAACAACTGGGAGTTTTTAAAAATGTGATAAAATATCTACCTAATTTGTTAAAATTTATGATTTTTTTTTTTTACATAATTCAATGGCATTAGTACATTCATGTTGTTGTACACCATTAACATTATTCATCTCTAGAACTTTTTCATCTCCTGAACTCCCTGGCTGTGGTATCCATTGTTCTACTTCCTATTTCTATGACTTTACTCCAGGTACCTCAGTTAAGTGAAATCATGCAGTGTATGTTCTTTTGTGTCTGGCTTCTTTAACTTACATGTTTTCAAGGTTCATCCATGTTTTAACATAGAATTTTTTTTTAAGGCTGTATAACATGCCACTGTAAGTATATGCTACATTTTGTTTGTCCTTCTATTTTGTAAGTATCAGTCACATTTTGTTTATCTTTCCCTTTATCCTACTAATGAAAATATGAGTTCTTTATTTTTATGGCCACTGTGAATAATGCTATCATGAATATTAGTGTATAAATATTTGTTCAAATTCCTGCTTTCAGTTCTTCTGAGTATATAGCGAGAAGTGGAATTGCTGGATCATAAGGTAATTCTATGTTTACTTTTTTGAGGAACCTCCATACTATTTTCCACAACAATTATGCCATTTCATATTCTTATCAACCGTGCTTAAGGATTCCAGTTTCTCCATATTTTGGTTAACATTTGTTATTTTCCTTTTTTTTTTTTTTTTTTTTAAATAACAATCCTGATGGATAAGTGGTATCTTATTGTAATTTTGATTTGCATTCCTTTAAATACTATTGATGTTCAATATCTTTTCATTTGTGTATTGGCCATTTATACATACTCTTTAGAGAAATATCTATTCAAGGCTTTGTGTTTTGTTGTTGACTTCTCGGTATCTTCTATATGTTCAGGATATTAATCCTTTATCAAATTTATGATTTACAAATATAGTTGACCCTGGAACAACACAAGTTTGAATTGTATTGGTTCATTTATATGCAGATTTTTTCAGTAAATACTATACCTTTTTTCATCCATGGTTGAGAGTTCTTGGGTGTGGAGGGCCGACTGTATGCATTGATCTATGATTACATTTTATGTAGAGAACTTGAAGATCTGTAGATTTTGGTATCTGCAGGGTTGGGGCGGTCCTGGAACAAATACCTGTGGATACTGAGGGGTAACTTAAGTTTTTGGGAAGTCAAAAGTTATAAACAGTTTTTTGACTGTGTGGGAGTGGGCATCCCTAACCCTGATGTTTTTCAAGGATCAATTGAAATTCCTCCCATTCTGTTTGTTGCCTTTTTACTCTGTTGATAGTGTCCTTTAATGAAGAAAAGCTTTCTTTTGTTGCTTTTGCTTTTAGTGTTACATCCAAGAAATCATTGCCAAAGCATTATTATTGTCTCCCTTCCCCTTTTTCTTCAAAGGGTTTTATACTTTTAACTCTTAGATTAATTTTGTGTTAATTTTTGTGTATGGTGTAAGTAGGGATCCAACTTTATTTTCTTGCATGTAGCTATACAATTTTCCTAGCACCATTTGTTGCAAAGACTGTCCTTTCCCCATTGAATGATCTTGACACACTTCATTTGACCATATGTGCTAGAGTTTATTTCTGGGTTTTCTATTTTATTCCATTCTGTTGGTCTATATGTCTGAGTTTGTATGTCAGCACTATACTGTGTTGATTACTGAAGCTTAGTGTAGTAAGTTTTGAAATCAGGAATTGTGAAATCTTCAACTTGTTCTGGCCATTTGAGATTCCACATGAATTATAGAATTTTTTCTTTTTCTACAAATCAAGTCATTAGGATTTTCATAGGAATTGAATTAAATCTGTAAATCAATTTGAGCAGTATTTAAATCTTGTTTTCCAATCTATGAACACAAGATGTCTTTTGCCTCCTTTGGTTAAGTTTATTCCCAAGTATTTGTTATTTCTGGTGCTATTATAAATTGAATTATTTAAACTTTCTTATTGCTTATGTATAAAAATGCAAGTGATTTTATTAGCTCTAAATTTTTTTTATTTTATAAATGAGATCATGTCATCTATGAACAAAAATAATTTTATTTCTTCCTATTTATCTTGGATGGCTTGACTTTTTTTTTTCTTGCCTAATACTATTTATATTAAATGGAGTAGCAGACATTGAACCCTTCTGGGACTTGCACAATGTGTGTGTTGGTACCATTTTTTCATTTAGCTCCTTAGACTTGATAATTTTAATAATCCTTTTTTTCAGGTTTGCTAATTGTTTCTTCTGCCTACTTAAACTTGCTGTTGAAAAATTTCAATACAGATATTGTATTTTTCAGATCCAAATTTCTGTCTTTGTCAACTATAACTTGAAAAATTATAATAACATACAATATTATTAGTTTCAAGTCTACAACATAGTGATTCAACATTTATAGTCCTTACAATGTTATCACCAGAATGAGTCTAGTAACTACCACCATACAAAGTTATTAAAATATTGACTATTTTCACTATACTATATTCCCATAACATAAAAAATAACTGGAGGTTTGTTTTATCCTCCACTCCCTACCCTCTGCAAACCATTAGTTTGTTCTCTGTATCTAGGGGTCTGTTTTTCTTTTGTTATATATTTTTTTTAAGATTCCACATATAAATGACATTATATGTGGAATTAAGTTAAATAAGACAAATATATTTAACTTAGCATAACACCTTTTAGGTCCATCCATGTTTTAAATGGCATGATTCCATTTTTTATGACTGAGATACATACACACACACGGCCAGATTATTATGATCTAAATGCATAATCTGGCCACTCAGTGTATATCCTATTTAATAAAAGGCTAATATGCAAGTTGTCCCCTCAACCAGGAGTTCAACTAGCAGGCAGACTGGCCAACTGCCCATGTTCTCTCCCCTTGGCCAGGCTGGCCAGACCCCACCCATGCACAAATTTATGCACCAGCCTTTTATACACACACACACTGAATGGCCAGATTATGTGTTCAGAGATCATAATAATCTGGCCACTCTGTATATAATCTTTATTCATTCATCTGTCTATTCTACATCTTTGTTATTGTAAATAATGCTGCAATGAACATAGGAGTGCATATTTGTTTTTGAGTGTTTTCACTTTTTTTCCCCCCAGAAAAAAAATTCCCTGAAGTGGAATTGCTGAGTCCTAAGATCATTCTATTTTTACTGTTCTCCATAATGGCTGTATCAGTTTACAGTCCCACTAGCTATGCAAAAAAAGGGTTCCCTCTTTTTCACATCCTCAGCAACACATGTTGTTTGCTGACTTTTTGGTAGGAGTCATTCTTACAGGTGTGAGGTTCTCAATGTGATTTTGATTTGCATTTCTTTTCATGTTTTTTGGACATCTGTATATATTCTTTGGAGAAATGTCAGGTGCTCTGCCCATTTTAAAATCAGTTTGTTCTGTTGTTGAATTGTGTGAATTATTTTTGCTATTAATCTTATGGGATATATCATTGGTAAATATCTTCTCCCAATCAGTAGGCTGTCTTTTCAGTTTGATTTACACCCATTAGTTGTTTTTTCTTTTGTTGTCCTTACCTGAGAAGATATATAAAAAAAATATTGCTGCCGAAACCGGTTTGGCTCAGTGGATAGAGCGTCAGCCTGCATACTGAAAGGTCCTAGGTTCGATTCCGGTCAAGGGCATGTACCTTGGTTGCAGGCACATCCCCAGTAGGGGGTTGTGCAAGAGGCAGCTGATCGATGATTCAAGAGATCTCATCGATGTTTCTAGCTCTCTATCCTTCTCTCTTCCTCTCTGTAAAAAATCAATAATATATATTAAAAAAATATTGCTAAGACCAAAGTTAAAGGGTTTACTGCCTATCATATCAGGCTTTATATAGAAGTCTC